AAAAAAAGAAAGAAAGAATTAGATGTACACGCACGACGCGGTCGAGCGACTCTGCGAGGAATACAAAACGGTGGAGTGAGAATGCGGGAGAGGACTTCTTTCGCGAGGGGGGCGTGCAGAAATTAATGTTCCCCCCCTTCGCACGAGTGCGAGTGCTTCGACCATTTCTTTCCTCTTCCCTTTTTCTTTCTTCGTGTTTTCATTTTGTTTATCTTCCCTCCTTTTCCTTTCTCTCCTCTTTTGCCCGCGACGCGACACGGCTCGACCAGCCGAGCCCGTTCAGACGGGATTGATAAACGTTCGGTCAGAGTTTACCGGCGGGTCACGCCGGGATTAAACGGTCCCGAACTCTTTCCCCTTTTCCACTTCTACTTCTTCCTTCCCGTTCGATGCTTGAAACGCGGCACGCCGAGATTCGAAGAGGAAACGCTTTGTACACGGGGTTCTGAGGGATGATCATCGATTGATATTGGAACTATCGTACGTTTCACATGATTAATATATGATACTTGGAAAAATTGTGATAATAGATTTGTTTTCGGTTCCTTTGTGCGTTGATCATATTGTATATTTATGAATTATCAGTTGAACGTTTCTATGAACATTTAGAAGAAATATCGCGAACCGAACTCGATTTGATTACGTTTCCGCTATTTTGTAAGCATTGAACGTGAAACTATTTATTTTTTTAATCACTTCGGAGATTTAACGGTTTTAAGATATCGACAATTGTGAAATATGAAAACTGAAACTTGTCATTTCAACGGGTGCGGTAGTTCCTGTGTCAAGGGTGAACAGCGGGGCGTTTCTGGGATGTCGGGAAGCGTTCGAGTTGTAATCGATTGGGATCGTTCCGTGGGACGGAAGTTGAAGCGAAAACGATCCGCGTGTCGCTACTCCGACGAGACGGGAAACACGTTCGCCGCTTTTTTCTAACGATTTTCTACTTTTAAATAACTACGCCTGCGCCTCTACGGTCCCGGCGGCTGAAACCGCCGATGGGAATTCGTTGTTTTCTTGTTCTTAACGGACAGAGGTACCAATAGAGACCAGTCGTGGAACTGTTCGTTAACGTTGACTTGTTTAGATGTTTGATATAAGTTAATGTACTAGGGGGGCAACTCTCTGTTCTATGAAGTTAGTTAGTTGTCGAATGTAAAGCTGGTTATTTGTTTGGTTGTACTGTGTACGGTCGACGAATAGGGTATCGCCGGTCTCGCGTGACATCTTGGTTACGATCCATTACGTTCGGTGGCAGCTTTCGTATTTTTCATAACATTTCTCGAAGAGACCTGACAATTCATTAGTGAATAGTTACTGTACAATTTGCTTGTCAATTAAACCCGGTTTGAATGAAATCGAATGGAGCGTGGTGAACGTGAGTGCACAGACATCACCGACAATAGGAATTATTTAAATGAGTACCATCGCGAGATTTGCAGGGGTTCGATACACTTTCTCGTAATATCTGTGCACGAACGAAGCAGGCTGAAACTTCGTTGAACTTGTGGCTACGGTTAATCAGTGCAGTACAATCGAATGAGCTCTCATGTTTTCGAATATCAAACTGTCCGTTTATACGAGCGACAATTGAACAGAGGGTTCCCCTTCCAAGAAACCGAAATATGCGATCACCGTTGCATCGATCCTCGCGTTCGACAGCCTTTCTTGTATATCGAGGCTGAACGAGATCAACGGCTCGAGCTCATTGGTCAAGTATTTCCACTACATCGTTCAACTGCCCTGCTATTTTATCTATATTCTTCTTACGCGAGACTATTCGAATGCTGAGGTCGAGTTCAACGCTCGTTTCACTGACGAATATACACACTTACTGTCCAGTAGTCGAGTACGCTATCGGTCAAAAATGTTCGATCAGTCGCAATAAAATGGACGGAAGCTTTTCTACCAGTTACATTAACTTCAAGTGTCCCAAAGCTCAAGCATCATTTCACGTTTTCCCCGCTGGAAAAACCAAGTTCATTCTTCATCCAACAAACGATCAAATATTTTTCATTGAAGGTGTATGCCGCTCGAATACGAAAATACTAACGCGAACTCAACTTCAGAAGGCAAAATATAGAGTATAGTCTGTCTAACGGAGCGAGACAGTAAACGTGAACAAAAATGTACTGTAGCTAAGTGCCACCGAGCTATTGAAGCTACGAAGGAATTCTTCGTAGTATGTTTGCTAAATTCGATCATATGCATCCTGAATCTAAGAATCTGAAATATTGAAATTTCCGGATAATGTAAATCGTAGGAAATAGTAGAAACAGTAGCATCCCCAATTTTAGCCAATTTCGCTACAGTTTTTTCCAAAGCGTCATTGCTCCTAACTTAGATCCAATTTCAAACGTTCACATCAAACACTACCAAGCGAACAGCAAGAATTGCAAAGAAATTCCTGTAAACGGCACATTTACCAGCGAATGTTTCGTTCAAATGTCCACTGCCTTTTCCCGTTGCACGGACTATTCAGCGCGACGCGTGGTGGGGGTACCGACCTTGAGCATTCAGTTGCTTTCGTTCCGGCTGTAGCGGCCGTCGGAAGGCTCTCGTTCGCGGTGCAGCCTCTCATCGGAAGTTTCTCGTGTGAGTGTGGAATGGAAGTTTTGTTCTCTGCGCGACGTGTGAGAGACTGTCGGCTTGCGGCCGACCACGGCCAGCGGTGTTCACGTGCGCGCCGACGCGACGTGTGGGGAAAAAAAAGCAAAAGGGAGCGCGGTAGTTAGTAAACGACATAGCAGCCGATAAACTAGCGTGTATATAAAGATTTCAAAGAAAAGGAAAAAAAGAAAGTCATATTCTATACGAGGTACGAGGCGTAGATCAGAGTTATAGCGGTACTGGTGTAATTGTATAGGCTTTGCAACGAACGCGAACCAGTGTGTGTGTCTCTGCGCGTGCGCGTGTCTGTGTGCCGACGAGCGACTGATGTAAATTCGAGCGAAAGATGCGTCCCTCGGTCATGATTCCTTTGAGCCGGATGCGTTCCGCTCTGCGGCCGCGAGTCTGCGTTCAATCGCGAGAAACGGATTAAAATGGAGGGTGCACGCGTTAAAGACAGACTCCCCCTTTTTAACGGCAGTTCGCTCGATTTACGCGTTGCTACTGTGTTTTCAATCAAAAGACGTCCCTGCTAAACCGTTCGCGAAATGTACAGGGAATCGAAATTCGATAAGCCATCGGTCATTTCGTTTTGTTTCGTTCTCTTGAGAACTCGAGTTCCGTTCGATAAGTTTTAGTACGCATCTAGAAATAAACTTTGATATTTTCATTCGATTATACGAGGTACATAGTTGACTCGTTACGCGTTTGCGCTGGAGGAAAGTAAAAACGGCGAGGGTGTCGACGGAAATTGTTTGAAATGTTCTGTACTGTTTTATAAATGTCGGATGCAATGCCGCGCCATTGAATAGTAGAATGTGTTCAAATGCAATAACAAGCGTACGGCAGTTATCGGATAATCAAAGTGTCACAGAAATAACAAAGTTTCTCGCAGTTCCACGTAGCTCGCGATGCACGAAGTGCCGACGAAGCGACGCGTTCTTCGCCGACGACCGGTCTTCGACGAATTTCCCGCGTCCAGTTTCCAAACAATCACCGAGCATCGCACTCGTCGATGATCGAGACGGCCAGAAAGTTACTTAATCACATTGCACGTTGATCTACTTCGGCTCTTGCCTTTCGTTCCTCGAAAATCCCTCGGAAGATCGTTCTGTCGAGCGTTCATCTCTCGGGAACAGAAGCGAAGCGTATAAAGCCAGGATTACACGGATGTTTCGCATGCTGGGTGTTACACGTCGTGTCCAGTGAGAATTAGTTCAATATAAAGACGAATATCACGCAATCTGAATAAACCATTGCAGTCCACGTGTACCCATAGTCTGACCTAGCTGGCACAAATGTTTCGAACTAACATTTTGTTACTTCATTGCTCTTTTCTGTTACTAAGGAATACTATATTAACTAAACAATTGAATAATACAAAGATTGTAAAAAATAATAGAAAACGCCATCCGCAGCGAAATACTAAATTCATTAAAAATTCAAAAAACTATCCGAAAGGAAGAAACACTTGTGAATTTCAAAATGAAATTGATGAATTGATGAATTCGAACAATGGAATAATTCCACGTTCGCGCAGTCAGTTCGCGTTCAAATAAATAGTTCTTACTCCGATGGAGGAAACGCCGTATGCGAAATGTATGTGTTGTCCCGGCCTTACGCGTGACACGTTCACACAGGCTTGCGTGTGTTCGCGCTTACCTTCAAAGTTCAAAACGAAATGCTTGGAAATGGGATACAAAGAGCGAGTTCTGTCGCGACGCGAAAGCGTACGGTGCACATACGGGCGTGTGCCCGCTTTCTAATGGGGATCCTTTTATCGTCGTCGCACTTCCAAGCGACTGTCGTTCGCTGTTATCGAAGGCGGTCCGCGGAATTTCATTCAACACTGTTTTTATCACTTTAATGCAATCACGATTATTCCACCTCTCATAAGTTTTATCATCGTCGCGATGATGTTCGATGATGGATTATAACGAAAACCGTTGCTCCTCGGTACGGAGCGGTAATAGACCATTCGTTATTTCGTTTCGATTCACGGGAATATAACATATAACACGATTGTTCATCGGGGAACCGCGTAAATTTTTATTGCCCCGTTCATCGATGTCTCTGTGACAGCAAGACACGCGTCTTCGCGTGACTCTTGACAACGAAATTATCGTTCGCGGAATCGGTGCTCTGAATCATCCGCGAACGCTTTTAACACGTTGACCACCGAATCGATTCTTCTAACGAAACGGGAACCGAGAAGTCAACAGTTTTTACTGCGATCGCTCACTTAACCTTCTTGCGTCTCGCAGACCCAGCGGAATTCGGCTTGTTCGGATACGTTGCCGGGAATATTCCATTTTTAACCCATCGCACTCGAATATTTTACGGTGAGAATATTCAACATCTATTCAAGTATAAACATGTTTTAGAATTAGGTTGCAGAGAGATTATACATATATAAATTCAGGGACAAAGTTTCATTACAATATTTCATATAGTGTTACGTTATACAAAATTTGATAACAAATATATCGAACTTTGTAATTTTGCTACGTTAAACCAAGTAGGGATTGTCGACCTCTCGAGTGCAAAGGGTCAACTTTTACACGAAAAGTTACGTCGCCCGAATTCGGTCTAAGTGCGATCTGGCAGAAGACCGACTTGATCAAATTGCCAGCGTACAGGGAACGTTGACTTACGTCGTTTCCTATAGGGTGGCCAGGTTTCAACGCGCGTAACAGAATTCGCTCGGAACCGGACGACACGAGATCTTCGTTTCCCTCTCTTTCTTTACGGTCGAACGGTCATTCTTCACCTTCCGAGCTACACTGTGCGAACGTTGGGCCGTTGTCTGTGTAACGAAGTAGCGCCGAGGACGGTAAATCGATGGTGACGGCGATGACGAGGGGTTGGGAGTAGAGTTGACGCGACACGGATAGCAATGAAAGAGGAGAAAAAAAAACAAATAATTAGCCTATACATATATTTGTGAATAAATATTTAATAATTTATTGTTAACTAGAGTATTTTATTTGAAAGATTTCATTAAACGGGATTTTGGGTACCAATAAATATCATTTCATACGCCTGATGATGGGGTAATTGGTAGAGAGAACGAGAGCGAATGTGTAACAAGAGATAGGGTGCGTGCGTACGTGTG